CCTAGTTCTTGCCCTAGGCATAGGCTTCATCCCACTATTAGTACTATAGTACTACTGTTCACCCTAGTCCCTGGTCATTGTATGTCTGGACCATAGACTCGTGCTGGTATATATCATATACATCTACACTACTTGTCTAGAGTTTTCTACATTGGTTAACAAGAATACCTGCAGTTTTTGCTGTGTCTTCGACAACGAGCAGTCTTCCAGTTGAGGCCTGATTGCCTTGACCAGAGAGAAGAGGGATTCAATCATAAGTAACGCCATAGGAGCTCCACTGAGCATTCAGATAAGTCTGTCACACCATAAAACCTAAGGGAATGCCCCATATACCTGTATAAATTTTACATTCAATATTAAGCTGTAAGCTATCCCCGTGACGTCACATGAATAGCCCTTCTTAGGACCTTCCCTATATTTGTATCAATTTAATATACAAAACTATATATATCTGAAATCTGAATGCTCCCTTGAATGCCACTACACTTACATAACTATATATGGTGTTATCATATGATTTGAATAGATAGTTTCAAGGTGTATGACTATTATTTCTTCATTAATCAACCCCAGGGTACTTGAAAATTTTACCAGATATTTGTAAATTGTTGACTCTACCGATAGCAGTGGTTTATCCCTTTCATCAGGGTGGTTTCTGATTTTGGCTAGCGAAAAATCAGTGGCGCACCGGAAAATTTACCCCTTCATTATATACTGTTACTCATATAATTCAAAAATACATGAACCATACCCACACCCTAACTGAGCAGCTGGGAGGGTTAGTGGCAAGTACTTTATCTTTTGCATGAACCCTGCTTATCAAAACCTTGCCCCTAACATACTATTTACTGGTGGTTTGGTTGACAAAATTTCATCCAAATTCACAATGGGTAATATCCGTTCTTGTTGAATGACCTTCATCATGTGATGATATATTTTTCATTTCATTAGGTATACGCAGAGTTGTCGAACTTCCTACACGTCAGTCATCATGTTGCTCTACCACGTAGAGGGTGTGCTTAATTCTCTGATCGATAAACTTCCCATCGAATTACACATTCCAGGCTACAGATTTTGTGGTCCAGGTACCAAACTCGATGAAAGACTTGCAAGAGGAGACACCGGTATCAATCCGTTGGACGAGCGTGTCAAGTACACGATATCGCCTATTCACAAAATTCCTCAATAGAAGACAGACACAAAGCTGATTGGATATTGGAAAATAGAGCGTGGGAGAGAGTCAAGTCGAAGAACGCTAAATTCAAAGAGAAGGCTGCTGCTTGGCTTGTCAACACCGGAATAATAATAATAATAATAATAATAATCTTTTATTGCGAAACGATCAACATGGACACAGCAAACGTCAGGGGTTACAGAACAATCTTAGCTACCTGTAGCATTTACATAATCTGTTCAAAATTACATTAAATACAATTTAAAAATACATAATTTCCTACATAGCATTTACATCATCTGTTTAAAATTACATTTTGAAAATACATAATTTTCTACATGTTATAGAATTCTACCTCCACATTTCCTGAGTACATTTGAATTCAAAATATATTATTAGTAAATGTTGAAATCAATCTTCACATGAATCACACATATAAACTAGGTACTTTACATTACAAATAGATAGTATCATTACAACCAACAGTTGAATGAGTAAAAACATTTATTTTTGAGAAATTCAATGACTGAAGTTCTAAACCTCTTTGCATCCGCGATAGTTTTCAAATTTTGTGGTAAGGAATTGTAGGCTTTTATTGCATTATAATAAGAAGATTTTTGGTTATATGTTGTTTTGTGGTTGGGTATTGTTAATTCATTTGAGTATCTAGTGGTCAAGTGCATATTTGCAGAATATTGGTCGCTATTTCTGGGAAACAAATGCGGATATTTTTTTACAAAGCATACAAGACCCAAGAAGTACAAAGAAGGTACTGTCATGATCTCGAGTTCAGCAAAATGAGGTTTACAGGAGGCATTGCGATCTAGTTTCAGAATACATCCAATAATTTTCTTCTGTGATATGAATATTTTCTGTGAACTTGATGATGAGCCCCAGAATATTATACCATATGATATGATTGATTGCACATGGGCGAAATAATACATTCTCAGGCTACTGATTGATACTTGGTCCCTAAGGTAGCGTATAATTCCACAAATTGAGTTCAATTTGTTATTCAATGAATTAGTGTGTGCGTCCCAGCTGAGAGTGGCGTCCAATGTAACACCTAGGAATTTAAAGTTGTCTGATATTGGAACTGATTTATTTTGCAGTCTTACATACAATGATTTATCATTGTTATTCACTTTGCTAAAAACAATGAGACCTGTTTTTGCCGCATTGAGCTTAAGATTATTCTTTTCACACCACAGGTTCATACTGTCTGTGACATTAGAAGATTTTGTTGAGAGTTCAGGCATACTGTTTCCCACTATGATAACAGAAGTGTCATCTGCAAACTGGTACACACTACCAGGGTGTAAGGCTTTTGGTAAATCATTAATGTATAGCAAGAAAAGGATCGGCCCAAGTATTGAACCTTGAGGAACACCTTGTTCAATATCAAGTTTCCTTGAATAATATGGTTCTTTTCCATCTGAAACAGATACCACCTGTACCCGATTTGACAGATATGACTCAATGAGTTTGTATCCAACGCCTCTAATACCATAACAATCCAGTTTATTCAGTAGTTTTTGGCATGGGTCTTGTATCACAGCAATCCCCATCCAACATTATCAAATTAATAAAAAATTTACTATCAAAGTCAGATGGTGGTGGTGGTGGTAGTACAACATCAGGAAGTGGTCTGAATAAATCTACATTGAAAGCACTCCATGCAGCCAGAATGGCAATCAAGAGGGCTGGCGGTAAAAAAAGAATCAGAGTACCAAGAATCATACCTCTTCCACACAGTGGCGGTATACTACCATTGATACCAATCTTTGCCGCCTTGGGAGCCCTAGGATCTCTAGCTGAAGGAGCCAGAGCAGTCGCAAAGACAGTCATCGATGCGAAAAATGCAAAGAAAAAGCTCGAAGAAGATCAAAGACATAATAAAGCAATGGAGGCTATCGGCAAGCAGGGTTCCGGCCTATTTCTACGCAAAACATCGAGAGGATTCGGACTGTACTTGAAGAAACAATCAAAAAACTCAAAAAACTTCTAGACAAGCTACCCAATAAATCAATGTACGATAAAGATGTGATAAAGTATGCCAAACAGCTGAAAATACCGTATTTTCGAGGTGTTTTTATGCGGGACACTCTACCTTCCACCGGTCCATGGCATCGCGAGTGTGCTGTATTGAATTTGGATACCGCCAATCATGCGGGCACTCATTGGGTGGCTTACATTAAAAATGATAAAAAACCTTATATTTCGATAGTTATGGTAATCTGAAACCGCCCAGAGAATTTGCGCAATATTTGGGTGCCAGCACGAAAATCTTGTACAATAACAATCAATACCAAAATTTCAATCAAAGTTATTGTGGACGTCTATGTTTAGAATTCCTTTTTAATGAGACCAAGTAACTCGGTTATTGTGCATCAGTCATGTCTCTGATTGTGACGTTGAAAGGTCGTACATCTACGCTCTCCATAGACTTTTTGACACCACCTCAACTCGATCCAGACTCTGATTACGGACTAGCATTGTTGGGATTCCATTCATACAACAGTATACCAAATATAGACAAAGGATTAAAGTTTCATCTGCGAGATAAGACCAAGGCGGGAAAGATCATCGATATTCCCGAAGGTTCATACGACATTGTGGACATTGAGACATTCATACGCAAAGAATTGGGCATCTCAAGTGCAAAGGACGTTGATGATATATTCTCGTTGAAGCCCAACAATAATACACTAAAGTGTGAGATTTCGAGCCAAAGGTTTGCCATCGATTTTCGCTCGAAGGATAGCATAGCTCAAGTCTTGGGATTTTCAAATAGATTGTTGAACGCACAACAAGTCCACACTTTCGATTTGCCGGTCAGCATAACCAAAGTGAGAACCATTCACATTGATAGCAACGTTACTGCTGGAGCTCTCTACAACGACAGACCATCACATACGATCTACGAGTTTGCAGTTGCAGTCGATCCTGGTTACGCCATAGACGACACTCCCAGAAATCTAATCTATCTACCTATAGTCAGCAGGCGGAAATTGCCCAACATTACACTCCAGATTCTAGACCAAGATTTCAGGCAGGTGAATTTTAGAGGTGAAGAAATCATCATAAGATTGGAATTGAAGAAACTCGCAAGATGGTACTAGAGTTTGATTACTCCTATAAATCAGATAATATACCATCATCAGCAACATCATCGGCACCAGTTCTCTCGACACCGTACACCAAAGCAGTCGTGTCTTCGAAGAGCAGCAGCAGCAACAGAAAAACATTGACATTATCCAGTGTCCTGTTTCTGAAATCACTCAAAGACTACAATGTTGTTAGCACCCGTGTTCGACGTTTTCCGCAAACCCAGACTCGACGAAAGCATCACTAAAGTGGAATGGCGTACCTATTATCCATATGTGAAATCATTCGAGAACAATGATGTCATCGATATAACGGTTAATCAAGCAGATTCGTGGTTGGCCATGTTTGAAGGCATCATTACCATCAAGGGTAAATTGAAGGTGACCGGTGGTGGTACTGGTACATTAACCCACAATGCTAGAGCTTATCTCTTTGATTCCTGCACCTATGAATTATGTAATAAAGAATTGGACACTGTCAGATATCCTGGAATGACGAGTACTGTGCGAGGATACTTGTGTTATACGCCTGAAGACTCATGTCATCTAGCCATAGCAGGCTGGAACTATCCCAATGCTCCGATCCTCAACACCGATGGTACGTTTAGCATGAACATTCCACTGAAACATTTGTTTTCCATCTTCAATGATCATCAAGTGGCAACGTGGGGCATGCAGTCAATCCGTTTAGTGAGAGCTCGCAATGATGCCAATAGTGTGAAGGTTGTCGAGAGAGCGAATACTGCTTTGCGAGGATCTCCTCAGACTCAGAGTATTGCTGAAATAACGATAGAAAGCATTAATTTGAAAGTGCCACATCTCACACCCAACGATGACATAAAGTTGCAGCTGTTGACACGTATCAAAGCAGATGAGCCTATGATGATACCGTTTCGCCGATGGGAATTGCACGAGCTACCAGCACTCACACAAGGATCTAACATAGAAATCTGGTCCGTCAAGACATGTTCTGCATTGGACAGTCCAAGATATGTTATAGTATTTTTCCAAACGAAAAAAGCCGATAATTTGCATGAAGACGTCACCTTGTTCGATAATGCCAACATCAAATCCATACGATTGGCTCTGAATAGCGACTATTATCCGCAAGAACGAATGCTATTGGACTTTTCCCGAGACCAATATGCTGACGCTCACTTCAACTATACAGAGTTCAACAAGAGCTACCATAACTGTCAAGAAAAGCGCTCTCTAGTAAACGTTGCCGAATTCAAATCCCGACCAATGTTTGTTATCGATTGCTCGAGGCGCTATCTGGGTCTAAAGTCGTCCACAGTTGACATAAAGTTGGACATTGAAGCGACTACATGCTTCCCTCCCGACACCAAAGCCTATTGCATCATCATTCACGATCAAATCATGGAACATCTCCCACTCAGCGAAATTGTTCAAAAAATTGCCTAGTTAGGTGTTGCTGCATCAGTCAGACGTCAGTTTGCATCGAAGAGTCATGGAGATCGCACTGGTTGACATTCAAGGGTTCACGGTTGATGGTGAATTCATTCCAGAAGAAATGACCATTCGCATTGGCAAAAAGACGAGTCATTTTCTATTCAAGCCATCCGTAGAATTTTCGAGTTCAAGCAGAGAAGATAAAAAGATGGCAAATCACCTGGAACGCTATGTGCATGGTTTGAGATATTCCAGTGGTTATGTGGATTTAAATGAGTTCGATGGAATACTACAAGACAACCTGCAGCAAACAAATATCATCTACGTTAGAGGACACCAAAAGATTCAGTTCTTGCAGCGAGAATGTGCAGAGTTGGCGATGACCAATCACATTGTGAATTTAGAAGATTTTGACAATTCTTGGTGGCAACCAATAACGTTTCAACAATCCATTCCACCTTGCATGAATCATTTCCGCAGAGGAAGGTTCCAGTGCAGTCTTTACAATGTCGATACTTTATATGATTGGCTATGTAATTTAATACCTAAATAAAAAACTATATATCGTAATTTCAGAGTTTTTATTCATCACATCCCTTATTCCTCAGTATAATGAAAATAACATGTGAGATTAAAATGAGTGAACATATTAGTGTACAACAAAGTGTCAAAATTGCAATGATATTGACAGAATCTTGATCATCATCTAATTTTGTGGGTGATTTATTCAATGTGAATGTCTGCCAGTCCCCAGTTTCGCCGTCACTGCCATCAGAAAACGATAATTTCAATTTGTAGTCGATGGTGGTCCCATTGACTCGAGGCATGTCGATTGAATATACAGGTAGTTTGTTATCATTGACATGCATTCTTTTCATCATCTTCCAATCACATTGTTGTGTACGATTCATATCAAAACATATGGCTGCATTCCTCGTATCATATGGTATGTTTGTGTAGAAGACGTTGTTGCTCAGAGCTGTCAATAGAATGAAGCTTGCTTTCAGTATCGCCATCTAGCTGTGTTGGTTGGATTCTTCTCGATGTAGGAAACGTTGCAACTGAACAACTTGGTTCTGTGAACACCTTGTCCCAAATACTCAATTGCTCGAAATCTTTGAACAAACGAACTTTCTGCTCATACAATTGGATGTCTGCACTGAGCTTTCTAACTTTCAACCCAAATTCTTCTAGTGCACGTCTGTATTCGTCAGAAGACATGATACAACTGTTTTTTACATCCATACTTTCAACCCACATCTTATTACATCTCTTTCCCTCTCTCTCTCTCTCTCTCTCCCTTTCTCTCTCTTCTTTTTTCGTCTCTCTCTCTCTTTCTCGTACACATCATCCAGACAAGGGTGTGGAAAAAGGATACACAGAAAAGTCTAATAATTGTTTCTATATTCTAAATTGTGAAAGTGTATAATAGTATAAATGTAAAAAGGAATAATAAAAATGAAAAAAAAAGTTTATACAATGAAATCTGAATATTAGGAATAATTAGATAATACTAAAATAATTGAAAATATACATATATACAACATTTGGTAAATTATTGGATGAATAAAAGAAGTTACATTTTTTCATGGGAAAATAAGTCATCAATACAACACAGCGTTGGTTTAAGAATTTTGGTGCAAAAATACTGAGGAGAAAATCAATCCGTCAAACTGTAGTGACCCCACGGAAGTGTGTCAAACAAATCGTGAATCAGTTTCCACTTATCATCTTTGGGACTCAGACCAATTTTTGTTTGTTCGATGGAAAAACATCGTGAGCGTAGGAACGAATCGTTTGCTGGGCTACGGTCTTTTCTTTCCAAGCCGTCAGACAATTCACATAGTCATCAAAAGTCAACTTATTTTTGACAACACATTTCTTGACACCCTTGGATTTTTTAGTTATACCGAAATTTTCCAATTCCCTATCTAGTCGTTCTTTACTGAATCCCTTTCTTTTCAATCGCTTTCTCTCTTTTTCAATATCCTCATCCGTTATATCCAATTTATAACTGTACATCTTGGATCGTAGTCCAGCAAAATGCGTAATAATCTTACCGTTTGCCTCATCCTTTAATAGGCCCAAGACTTTTTTATTTACTCGAGGTATACCATAAATATTGTCTGGAGCATAGTCAGACGTGTCAAATCTCTCGATATTTGCATCAATCACCTCACTATTATACACATCGTCACATACAATTTCGTAGATGAAGCTGTCCGTATCGGTATACATGAGTTTTACGTCAGCTCCAAGCTTTGGTAACATGAAATTGTAGTGGAAATCAAACATGACAATTTTCGATAAATCAAGAATAGCCATACCAATGTATAGGGGCTTGTTGAAAATCAACTCCGACTTTTTCAGTTCGATAGCCATGAGGTTTTCATCGAAAACTGTTCGATTCTGAAATCTAGGACTGGAAATTAAATTCTTAGCACCATAACGGCCTTCATATTTTTGTACCAATTTCACAACGCGGTGATTACGGATATTTTCCATTGTTTTCCCAAACACCGCATTGTTCATCAATTTTCGCAAGTCTCTTTCAAAGTCACTAGTGGCCAAGGTCCTCAATCGCGTATTCAACGCAATGTAGGACTTAAGCCACGGGGCTTGCTTAAATTTCAATACTTTATGGATTTTGGTCAATTTCAGACCGTGTTCTAATGCCTGCTTCAAATTTCGATAATGTAAAGTATATTGTTTTTTATCGTGGAGTGTGGTCATTAGTTTGGATAATTTTGAATTTGGTGTTGTGCGGTGTTCGGGACAAAATGGTAGGTCCTTGTGTAGGTCTTGCAACCTCTCAGGATACTCCAAATCAACTTGGAGAATATAGCCTTCTGGACTGTTGTCAGGAATTTGGGTTACATCAATGTCAATATTTTCTACCCATTTGAAGCCCCCATAAGGAAGGGGTTCACTCATTGCTTTTCCATAAAGGTTATTTACATCGATATAAAGAAGGTACTTTGACGGCTTTTTTGGATCGTAATTTTTCTGGTACTTATTGTTTGCTTCGCTATACCTATTGCAACAAACCGATACTCCTCCTCTTATCGCCTGCTCCACAAACATCACCATGTCGATGTCTTTGATGATTTGCAGCTTACACCCAGTATACTTGAACATGCAATCCCACGTATAGCCGGGCATTGTGTAATACCATGCAGGATCGAGGCCATACGTCTTGAGGGATGACGCACGGAAATTTTCCATGACGTCGGCAAGAAGAAGAATATCGGTCCGCATATATAGGTCGCTATATTCTCCTAGCGATTTCAGCTCGAAAGATTCCCAAACTTTTTGCGCGTGCGCGTAATCGTCGTCCGAAATATTTGTATCGTTCAATTTGTTTCAGAAATTTTGAATGCTTGGCAACTTGGATTCATCCAATCTTTCCACACTATTGACATAATCATATGGGAATACTCCTTTTCGTGTCAACAATGCAAATTTCGGCTCATTCACGTCGCTGAATTCCTTCTTTAGAATTTTCAAATCATCGACTTTCAACGTTGACACTAAAGCATCGAGACTGGTTCCCAAAAAGCGGAAAGAGTCGATGAATCGGAATTTTATGCTTGTTTCATCATCATGTTGTGTAAACGAAATGTATTTTTCGCGATTAACCGGGAGTACGCTCACTCGTCCCCGCTTGGAAATGTCTCTGATTATAAAATGCGAATCATATCCTGAGAGGTTGTGAAACGTAATGGGAACAACGAACAGTTTCCTAAAGTTGAGATTACAGGGAGCCTGGTGTGCGAAGCCTCTGAATGCGCCAGTGAAATGGTCGTGGTCACGTACGATAACTTCTTTTGCCTTGAATTCCTCTTCGCAAATGTGGCAGATGGTTGCGCCACTGGTACTAGCTGGTTTAACTACCATTGGAACGATATTTTTCAATTTGGATTCGACAAATTTGGCAATTTTAGACATTTCGCAGGCAAACCAGTCCATGCAATCTCCACCCCTATGACTACGATAAAATGACAGCGAGTCATCGAAAGAACATTTGAAATAGTACCCAGTACTGTATGCTTTATGATGTTGATACTTTGAAGTGGTTTTTGAAATTTTGGAATTACATTCCTCCAACTGCGATTCGAAATCAGCATAAATGATGAAAGGACATGTCTGCTTATACACATGGTTCTTGAATTCTACAAAATCATACTTGGGGAATGAAATTTTCTCATTATTAATTTTCTCACATAGAGCAGCATGATTATCAAGCTTCTCCTGGCAATGGTAATAGTTGAGGCACCGATCGCAAATAAATTTCTTACTACGATTTTTGTTGAGTTGACTTGATACTAGTCGTGAAAGGTCCTTAATCCAGACATAGTGATATTTTACGTTAACGTTTTCCTCAATACTATCATTATCGGGAGGAGCTTCATAGTCATTCAATTTTGGGAAATATTCGTCTTGAATTAATAGCAAATTAACGTGTCGATTACATTCATGTTTAGTCAGTCTGGTGGGTACGACAGTGTAAAATGTCCGTTCGTTGACTTCTGTCAACTCTAGCGCATAAACATTAATCGAAATATTATTCATTTTTTCAAATTTTGTGATTTGGGGCAGTTTCATTGGTATGTCTAATCCTTTGATGTTCAAAACTTGTAAATAGTGAGGATAATTATTAACTCTTTTCGAACTTGCTTTAATAGGGTGCAAACAACTGACTATGCTCCAATAGAAGCAAGCCTCATCATTATTTTGAACGTTAATGCAAGCCTGCTTCTTCTCAATCTGCTCTGGTAATTTGATGTATGATGAGCCATTGCCCATTTCATATTTATTTATGGCAACCTCCAGAGAAATAATTTCGCTCAAGGCCCACCCGCTATTCTTCTCGGCAAATTCGCTAAGTTTATTA